TTCTTGGTCACAACCTTCGACGAATCTGTAATACCAGAAGCAAGCTCTTGACAGTCACTTTCAACCACATCACTCACATCTTGGAACTTGAACAACACCCGCATCTATATACTCCATCAATCCCAATTTTTCTCTGTGATAACTGGAAGATTCATAGAAGGAATGTGATTATCACCACTAGTCATTCTTCACCCACGTTTACTTATCAAGAAAAAAAATCTTAGTCACAAATCATATTCTTGATACACACTGTGTTGTTTTACACAACCAGCTTCTTCACTTCAATCACTTTGTCTGTCTACCATACTCAGATGTGATTTTTGAAGCATAGGTCCTAGAATGTCTAGGCTTTGGATACCAATTCTATTAGAACTTACATGAATGAAAGGTAAGAGAAATGAATTTCGTTCATAGTTGTATTGTGTATTTCATCATATGTAATTTATATATATAAGAGTACATGAGAAAAGTTTGGTTAGAAAATAGAAAACTCAATAATTAACTTACTTATTCAATAATTTACAAACATTAATGATTCAATGATCATGAAATTATACAATTAGTAAGTTTCATTGACCATCATATAATTGCTTTATAAATTATAACTTGTCATTACTCTTTTTTTTTCTTCTTTTGTTGTTTAACTTAGTGATGTATAATGTGTAGTATAAATTTACAATATTCATCAATAGATTTCTATTTTTCATGTCATATATCAAATTTATAAATTATTATACTAATATATTTTGGTTTGTTATTGCTGCAAATATATTGTCTTTTGTCATAGTTATTCAGTGTTATAGAAATCAAACAGGTATTTTTTGAAATTTTGTATTACATAATTTCTTTGAATTTACCTTTAATCTATTGTGAAAAATTTTACTTACACAATCTTTCTCAATATAGCTTTTCTATTTAAAGTTCCGAAAATTTAGGGTCATTTATAATATTTATTCTTTAGTTTTTTTATTAATATTAAATTATTCTTTATTATTAATGAAAAAATTTAGATAATCTCGTGTATTGCACGATACTATAATATATATATATATATATATATATATATATATATATATATAATAAATTATTTTTATCATTTAGATGGGCATAATAAATATTAAAACTATTAAAAATTATAATAATTGACATTTAACATGTATAAGATATTTTCTATTAAAATTTTGTAAGAACCTTATAAGTTGAAAATCCCTTGTTGAATGATTTTTTTTTGGAGAGAATATATTCCTTTGATAATCATATGTTCGTGTTCTTTTATTGAATTAAATATTAGAGTGTTTTTGAGGTATTTTTTTATTTTAGAGTTTGTCAAAGGTCGATATAGATATAGTTGAATCCTAGATAGAAAGTTATAGTTAAGATTGTGATTGTTCGAGTTTCTTTGGAGAAATATTTAATTTTATTTCCTTTATTTTGCTTTTTGACAAAAATATTTGATGTCCATAATAAAGCATATCTTATACCATATTCAAACAATGATTAACATTGACATGAATCTTGAAGATATTTGACAATCTTAAGATGTATATGGATAAAAAACAAAAGAATATCATTGGCAACCTTAACATGTACATGGATGAAAAACAAAAGAATAGAAATGAAGATTGCTTGGCATAGAGAAAAAATTGAAGCCTATATTATGAGCTTAAATGAAACTAACATGTAAGTTTACGATCTAAATCGTTTTATAAAATAATAATTATTTTTTAAAATAAAATAAAATAAAAAATATATTTTTTAAAATATATATATTAATTTAATAAAAATATTTACTTATTTTAATAAAAATAAGAGTGAAAAATTTACTTATTTCAATATTTTAATATCTAATAGTTAAGATGAATTATTAGTTTAGATTAATAAATTAAAAAAAATAAATGATAATAATAAAAAATAAATTTTAAATTCTGATTTTAAAACTAAATGAATTAGTTCTTTTGTAATTTATATATTAAATAATTATATCTAAAATAAAAATTAATTTTATTAATATAATTTAATTTTTATTTTTTTTAATTATTTTAATTAATTATTTGATATAAACACATTAATATATTTTTTATTTTCAATTAAGATGAATTATCCATTTTATAAATATAAACGAGATTGAACTATTAATTTTATTTACTTGACACTTAAAATTAGGTTAGATTAGATAATAATTATGAATTTGAAAAAAATTTCACTTTCCTTTTTAAAATTACTTTATTTAAATTGTATATTTGTATTTTTTCTGTATTTTAAAAATATGTGTATACATTGAATTATATTATTATTTAAAAGGATATAATTGTATAAAAAGTTCACATTATTCTGTATAAATATTTAATATTTAACCGTTGAAGAGATTTTTTTAAAATAAGAGTTCAATATATTTTTTATTATTATCATTTTTTTTATGTAATTCCATGATCTAAATAATAAAAATAAAATTTAAATTTTTAATTTTTATGGAGAATAAATTTTTCCTTTATATATATATACATATATATATATATATATATATATATATATATATATATACATATATATATATATACATATATATATATATATATATATATACATATATATATATATATACATATATATATATACATATATATATATATACATATATATATATATATATATATTGAAGCTACCTCAAATCTTGATTGGTCATGATGACTAGATCAAAGATGTCCTTGTTTGATCTTACTAGTTACTAAACTTTCCAGCATATACATATTGCTCCATGTAATTATTAAGTAAATAAAATATTTTTTAAAATAAAAAATTTGCCTCTTGAAATTTTGATCCGAGCTGCAAGCAAATTGTTTATAGAATTATTGTTTCCCTTAATCTATATTTTTCCTATCATGTTACATCATGCAGATATGTGTCTCTTCCTTTTCTCTTTAGGCGTCTGTCCATACGTTATTTTCCTTCATTCTAGGAACATAACTGATTGCAGGTTCCTCCTGCAACAATTCCACTGCCTTCTGTGCATTACTCTTGAAGGTTACATGAATGGGTTTTAACTGAGAGCCCGTGCACTACTTGCTTAGCAATATGATCAAAATGTTTTATTATAAGATTTGACAATTCTCTTTTCATAACCTAGTTTTCAAGAATCAAGTTCATCTGCTTTATTTCTAATGTTGGATCACCCTCAAATACTTTTTAGCGTTTGATTCTGCTTAGCTTCTCCATTTCATCACATAAAACAAACGCCTATTGGTGGGGAAACCAAAAACCAACCAAGGTTTCCTACAACATGAAATTTTACTGCCCAAAAGGACAAAAATGAGGAGTGCTTTTGGGAATGAGTTGAAGATTAGTCTCAGTCAGTTTTTAATAACTTGCATGTATCAGTTCTTGAAAGATCAACGTCAACTGTGACCCTCTTAATTTCTCTCATAATGACCTAATAATGTCAATTCATGCATACGCCCAGTTGGCTCTGCTACAGAGAACCTGAGATAGTGGCCACTCAACGTAACAAAGTGTGCTTTGCCCTGTAGTGTCCATCCATGAACAGAGTTGTAGGAACCACACACACGTATGCACATTCCATTTAACCAACCAAAGTAGATTTTTCAGTTAAACAACAGAATCAGAAACTGCTTTAGTTTTAGGAGCCAGTTTTGGAGTAATCACTGATCAGAAAATGGCCTCTCGTAAACCCAAAGGTGTGTATCATATAATCAAATGATTCATTAGTGTTTAAGAAGAAAACTGGAGGAAAAAACCACTATGTTGTATCAGATGAATTACGATCCGTTGATTATAGATGGAGCAACAGTTTGCACTTTTTTCGGATTGAAAAAACTTATCTGAATGAATGCTCCTAATCAAGCTACAGTAACAATACTAGTCATGAAAGTAGCAATGCACCATTAAGATACAACTAAGTTTAATGCTTACTTGCTGCCTTATCAAGGTTGACAAAGAAAAGAAGCCATAAAGAGGTACAAGTTACTCTGCCTCATCATGGAAAGTAACAAGGAGAGTGAGTGCTTTTGCTTGGTTGAATTTCTTTTAAAGAAAATTAAGAAGTGAATATTTCATCGAAGCTGATCTAAAACAAACGTGCACTGTTCTCTGGTCATGAAAAAACACTTCTCACTAAGGAATAGTCTAACTTGGCTTACTAAGCATAGCTTTCTTTGTAAGTATTGAACTCATACCTTAATCTATGAACCGCTGCACTTCTTATCTATAAAATTTAAATTACATTATTTGTCTTAAGACATAATTTGTTTTTAACGAAAAATAATCAAAATTTTGATTATTAAAGTTGAAAAATCGAGAAAGAGGAATCAAAATAGAAAAAACAAAATGTTGGATATATTTTGTTTTGAGGCTTACATACATGGGCCGGTTAACCTCTTGTAGACTTGTAGCCTTGTAGGTCGATAGTGTTTAATGTCATCAATGCTATAAATAGCGAGTACTCCCTATTTTCTTGCATCTTTTTTATCACCATGCATGTGTATATATGCACACCTTCAAATTATAAGTATGCATTATAATGGCAGATATTAAATGCTAACAACCAATTTCTTAATAAACAAGTCATTTTCAAATTACAAAATGAAGTAATTTTAAATTTGAGAACCAGATATTGAGAAACTACATGCATCTAAACTTTTTTTTAAAAACCGTATTGCCTTTGGTAAATTGATCATATATTAAATATAAATATTCTTTAAAAAAAAAAACAAATTACAGTTTATAACATTTAAAAAACTTGTTTTAGACCAATATTATTGGTATTATCAATCTCTTTATTAGAAAGAAGAATTGAGGTGATAGTTAAATTAATTTTAATAAATTAAATTGTTAAATTTATGGGAGTAGCAGGAGGAGGAGTTATCTATCCATCATAATAACATCCGCTCACAACCTACCACCGCATCTGAGAGCACCAGGACGTGGGCTGGCACGTGGGCCTGGGCCCCGCACGACAAGGACCGCACACACACAGAGCCGTGACATCACCTCCACAGACCACAACACAAAAAGCCCATCCCCATCTTGGGCCCATCCTTATCTGGAGGAAAGGGACTCTTGTCGCCCGGGCCCGCACTTTCGCCTTCCAACTTTAACCCTGCACCACGCGATGCCAGCCACGTAGCCCCCCACCAAACATGATCCCAACACCGTGGGCCCCGCGACCACCCTTGCCACGTTTGCTGCTTTGGGCTTCTGTCGCACGTGGGGTGCCTCGAAACGTGGGTGGCGGATACGACGCCTGCCACGGTTATTGGACACGTGGCGGCCGGGTGGTGTCGGTTTGAGGACGTCGTCGGCAGACAAGTATCTTTGGCAATGACGGTGATGCTTGTTCTTTCAGGGCACATGTGTAAACCCCGTTTAAAAAAATTATAATTTATTCTTTTTTATTTTAAGAAAATTAATTATTATTTATACAAATATTTCACCCTTGGCAGCTAATACATAACTAACTATGTTTAACATTCTTTTATTAAAATAAAATAGACTTAATTACTTTTCAGTAGCACTATTTATTTATTCAATTTAGAAACGCAACCGTTACATTACATTCAATTAATACAATTATTAATAAATAAATATCAATAATTTTAATTTATGCATATTACAATTTATACCTAATACACAATGATAATATATAAAATTAATGATGTCCATTTTAATATACGAAAAAATTTATATTGTTGTATTTTAAAATAATAAATGAATTTAATTAAATCTTGAAAGATCATCACATCATTGCCTTTTTCAAAACTAAGGGAATTGATTGAACATTTGTTAATAGTGAGATTAAATTAAACAAAAATAAATATATAATAAGAAAAATAAGTTTGACGATTTATGTGATTATATTATTATTATTATTATTATTATTATTATTATTATTATTATTAATGTTAATGTTCTTCTATTCGCATTAAAACTATATTAGTCTACGACAAAACTTATGAACACGGTCTGTTCGGCAATAAAAAGAAGTGTGAAAAAAAACATTAAAAAAAAAATCTTTATCAAACATATTGAAGAGCGCATAAAAATTAATAATTTTTTTATTAATATAATTTTAAAATAATTATTATTAATAAATTTATATTACATAATCATTTGAAATAAAATAATGAAAATTTTCTGTAAATTTTCTTTTCATCTGTAATATATTTATATAACACATTTAATTATATAATTTTTTTTAATTTCAACTGATTAATTAATGTCTATTGTTTGATAGATTATTACTTTACTCGTTAAAGTTAAATGACTTGAGTATAATAAATAAGTAAAGCTTAATCTATAATAATTTTTAAATCATATAACAAAAATGTATAACCATTTAAATAAAAAATTTATAATCTTACTTGTTTTAACTATACCTAATATTTTATATGGAAAATAATATCGCCAAAATTTTAATCTTAAATCATATAGACACATAAGATTTTATTATTTATGGGAGTTAATATAAAATAATAATGTAAAGAATATATTGTAGTATAACTATTTTTATATTAAAAAAATATAGATATTAAACGTCATTATTATATAAGTATATCTCATTATAATTTTATTTTTCTAAAGTATATTTATTTTTAATTAAATAAACTCAAAATTATTTTTAAATTTTACTTATTTAATTAGTTGGACGAATTAATTCATAAGTTACATATTGAGTTTAAGTTTGATTTAAAAATTAAGCCTATTAATTATATGAGTTAACTTAATATAATTAATTTTACTTGTTTACCTTTATGTTTGATAAAATTAATTAAAATGTCTAAAAAAGAAAACTGATAATTAAGAGCTGTAAAACTAGTTTATTATATATTAAAATGTTTGACAACATGATATGTTAAAAAGTAGCTTATACATATAGAATGATAGAAAAATGTTAATTTTGAAATTTTGTAATTTCTGATTTACAAAATAATTCTTTTAGTTATATATTTTTATACTATTTATTCTACTATTCATCACTGCTTATATTTTAAAGTACTCTTCAATCAAATTTAAAAATAAAGTAAAATGTCATAATACTATACTTATGTTAGTTAATGTAATGATTAAAAAAATATTTTCTATCAATAATTAATAAAATAAATATTATAAGGTTATATATATTTATAATTATTATCTATTATTAAAAGTAATTTATATGAAATATAAAATAAAATTATCTTATATAAAAATGATAAAACTTTATCTTGCAAGTGAAAAATGTCAAAAAAAAGATGAAAATGATGTTACAAAATATATAAAAATTAATAAATAATTTAAGGATAATAATTGAAAATATTTAAAAATTTAGAAGCTAATAATTTAAAAAGCATTACTTTTAATATTTAAAAAATGTTGCAAACTAGTAAAAATAGAAACAAGTATCTTATGATTCTCGACTTATTATATCTGATACTGTTTTATAAAAAAAATTGATATGTCTTTTTATGTATTTGTTTTTATAATTTTTTATTTACTTATTTTTATTATTTTATAATTTTTTCTCATTATTTTCACTGACTTAAGTATTTAAAATAAGTAATGCTATTTTTCTTGGACAGAAATCAAGACACATTATAAAGCTGGAACAAGCCTTCAAATGAAGGAAGATGTGTTGATCAAAAGTGATGATTAAAACTTGGTTTGAATGAATTTACTTAGAAGATCCCACATTGTGTTGATCCATTTTTCCTCCACTCCGTTTGTTGCTTTTACCTGTCCCTATCCATTTTGCTTTGATAGGATCGATGGGTCACCTATGGAAAAAAGTAAGAATTTTGTTGCATTTGTATTTAGAAAGAAACCAATTGTGTATTCATTCATTACAAGAATTTGATATCTTACTATTTACAAGGACATGGACAAGGGTGATATTTGGTCCAACCGTGGACTCAGTGGTGCAGACAACATGAATGGATAATCATATGTCAAAATCATTTTGCAAGGAGAATCATATCATGCATATGTGGTTCAAGTTCAACAAAAAAATAAAACATAATCACACTGCCTTAGAAAAATGGTAAGCTTCTGATATGTTATGTTATGGTGCCCCTTTACAAAACGGGTGCATCGTCTTACTCCTTCCTACGGATCTTGAAATCAATCATACGACTAAGACCATACCTGAAAGTTTTCACTTGTTATTGACTGTGCCAAACACACCCCAGTAGTTGTTGGTCAATGAGATTAGTTAAAGAAGAAGAAATTGTTGATTCAGCATTTCCTTATAAGGTGGATCTTAGTGGTGCTCCTTTCACTAATAAACTTTAGGGTGAAAGATATTTTGGTTAATTGTCTCAAACCTTCCGCATAGCATAAGTCTTAATCTGCCAATAATGAATCTAAAAGTTATGGTCATAAACGCTTTCTTTTTTGGATTCATACAATAAGTATTTGTCAAAACAAAAGCAATTGTATAAACCCTAAAAGCAATTTTATTTTCAAAAATAGTATAGTCTAACACGTTGAAAATAATATCATTTCTATTAAATTTAGTGAATACTATATTTTTTTTATCTTTTTGTATGAGGATGTTTATGTTGTTTTAAGAGTTAAGGTCAAGATCAATTTATACATATATATATATTTTTTTTAATTCACAGAATTCTAAAACGTACAATAATTCAGTTATGAAAATTTATCTTATTAACAAATAAAAATATAATTAAAATAGTGGTATATTTATTCTATAAGTCCACTCCAATATATATATATATATATATATATATATATATATATATATATATATATATATATATATATATATATATCTTAAAAGGTGATATTGTACTAAATAATTAAAAAATGCAAAGAAATCAAATATTTAATATTTTTTAATATTATATAATCCTATCTTTATCATATTTTAATATATAAAAAATAATTGAAATAAAGAAAAATATAATAGTTAATTATTAAATTTAATAATGTTAAAAGTTTTATTCATAAATAATTAATACAATTTAAATATTAATTAGAATAAAAATAAAATTTTATGTGTCCATATAGAAAAAGAAAATAAAGTTTAAGGTTAATTAGAAAAAATTTAAAATTGAAGATGTTCATTTATAAAAGAGATAAAGGTTTGGAATGACTTAGAATACAAATAAATGTTAAGGGGTTAAATACTTCTATTCCTATTTTTCTGACCAAAAAAATATATTTTATTCCTATTATTTTTAAAAACGTTATTCAACCTAGGTCAATTAACAACAATCATGAGTTTTGTTTTTAACTTAGTACGGAATACTTATAATTGAATAAACATAGACTTTTAGTGATCATCAAGTGAAATCTTTTATATCAATTATATATTTTCCATTTTCAACATTCGAATATGAAATATTATTGTTACTTTAATTAAGTGGGTTCTGGAAACTTATTTATTTATAATGCTCCTATCATTGAAAAATTCACCTTAAGGGAGGTTAAAATTCTAATAGGTTAGATTGAAAAACTCAAAAATACGTTAGGTTAGAAAAAAAATTTATGACCTAAATAAAATTAGATAAATTTTGACTCGACTTATTTAGACCAGACCTAAATGGAATTAGGTCAAGCTAGCCAGTAGGTTTATAGGTTGGTCTGTTTATAAAATAATAATTATTTTATTAATAAAATAAAAATAATATTATTTTATTAGAAAATATAAGTATAATAAATTACTTTGATAATATATTTTATTATATATATATATATAATTTAGAAAAAATAATAAACTTTAAATATAATCTTCATTTGTTTTTATCATATTCTTCCTCTTTATTATTGTCATCACATTTATTTTTAAGAACCAATAATTTAAGATGATATGTTCTTAAATGTAGTATATTTTCAAAGTATCATGATGCTGAGGGTTAGGTTGAATAATAAGGCTAGTGAAAATTTGACTCTAAAATTTATCCGAGATATACATATTAGATATATTTATTAAGTATGATCTTCAATTTAACTATGTTGAGTACGATGAAATTTGGGAGGTAAATAAAATTTTAAATCAATTACTATAAACACTTCAATTAACGTGTTATCTAATATTTTTTGTAGGATATTTTAAACCAATCATTAGAAACACTTCAATTACATATATTTATAACGTGTACTATTTAATTAAAAAAAATTAAAAGATATGTTATATAATATTTTGGGTAGGATATGTTTGACTTTTTGATGTATAAACAACTATAACTCCTCAAGACTACATAATTATAGTAGTTCATTTTATGATTTTATACATTTGATTTGATTTTATTTTGCCTTAATAGGTTATGAGTTAATTTTAAATAAACAAATAAATGATATTTTTTTAACAAAATTAAAAAAATATATAATTATTTTTAGTTAGACAAAAAATATCTATTAGTCTATTGGTCTAACATAAGATCAAACTAGAACAACAATTTTTATGTGTTTTAAAATATAAATTAGATTGAACTTTTTTTTTTTTATCATACTGGATGATCATATTAGACCAGATTAGGCTAGAACACCAATTTTGACATAATACAAAATATATTACGTATAAGCAAGAATTTCTTACTTCCTATGAATGCGCGTAAATTTGTGTAAATACATAAAACATGATGTCAATTTTACCCTTCTAATCAAGACCATAAGAACATGAAAAAAAAAAAATTATTAAGATTTCGTAACAATTTTTGTGTTCGAAGTTATCTCGTTGAGTTCAATTTTCTATTATCACATGCATCCTACACTATATACTCATTTCGCTCGCATTGTTGAGTTTTCTATTAAATGTATTTTTTCTATGAACATGTGAACACAAATTTCATGCAATTTGTCAAGTTTAAGCTCTACAACCTATTCAATTGAGCTCGAAAATCACCCCTTTTCATTTTGGTTTTGACCAAGTTGCAGAAGCTTTTGAAATCATTTATAACAAATTCATATCCCTCAACTTAGGTGATCCCAACTAAGCCACAGTCCAGAGATATTCTTAAGTACAAACAGGTATGAGACAATGCCCTCACATTGATCCGTTTATGGTACTCACTTCAGTGAGGACAAGGATAATTAATGAACCTTGTGCTTCAACTTAGATCCCAAGCTGCAAGAGAGGAAAAGGAAAAAGACGCCAAAGAGCTTCACTTAACATCACTTTCACCAAAATCAAATGCCGAATACAGCAGTGTTCCTCTTTTGAGGACCACAAAAAACTTTTGACCTTAGCTGTATAAGCCTACAAAGCAATGACATTTGAAAAAAAAGACCCTAGAGCATGACATTTTTGACTCCACTGTTTTAACTTCTGAGCTACTCTAACCCATTACAACACAACAAGGAAAATATCAATTAACACTTAGTTTACATGGCATTCGTTAATGATTTATTCTTTTTCTCATTTACTCTAAAACACCCTTTCACCACTACGTTCCAAGCATGGAAATTTCAATCAATTATTTAACTAATTGCACTTAGTTGAGTGTGTGTTCCCTCAGGCCAAAACCTTTTTTTTTTTCACGTGAATAATGTCAAGGCGCACAAGGGCCATCCCTGAAAGGTGCCTCCATTTATAACTCGTCAATGGATGATGCAACATATTGAGTAAAATATTGATGCAGATAATATTTTAAAGGGTGAGACACTTTACATGGACTTTTTCATGGGCGAACCAAAATTCAACAGCTAACAAGATTCTGCAACGGACAAATTCTTCATGAAGAAACAAAGGCATGGGATTAATTGCAAGAATGAATTTCAAATATTTTAATGCTTAAATTAGAGGAAGCTGTCAACATCCTCAATGAGCTAGCCTGTGCTAAAAGTCCTTGCCAATACAATTTGTTCAAGCGAGCCACACCAGAAACCTTGACTTCTGTAGCAGGGTTTAGTACTATTCTCCATCTGTTTCATGCTGTTTTTTTTTTTTTTCCCTTTGGTTTCAACTTTAGATTTGCTCACAAGTTCACAGTTGCTTGGAGAAGTTCAATTTCATTCGTGGAGATGCCAAAGGGACTAAATTCAACTTTCTTATGGGACAAGTAGCTAACAACTTTCGCAGCCTTCAATGTATGTCACTGCTGTTCATCCAAGTTGTTGTTTAAGCAACATTTTGAATGTGAATTTGCACCTATAGGATGTGACTTGTAAGTAACCTCTTCTCTTATATCCCGTTAAAGATCTAAAATATAATAATAAAAAATTGTTCCCACCCAAGTCTGTCAAATTTACCTCAATGCTAGGAAATAGGGAGACTATTACTTTTGAACTTGTATTAGTGCTGCTAAAGGTGACTGTAGCTGTTGTTGTGTAGTTTATTAGTGTAAATACATTATTAATTAACTCATTCCTTTTATTCAATTTCATTAAACACATGCCAATTATTTCTAAGACAATCATCATCAACCGGGACACATTTTTTTAGTATAAAATTTAGCTAATAAAGTTTGAATTTAAGCTTTTACACAAACTACTCAAAGCTAGCACCTTTGGGCAAATCCTAGTTTGTACTAGGAAGCATATTAAACCGTAACTTTATGCTGAGAAGTGAGGGCCGGTGAATCATGATAAAGGGTCTTCCTAATGCATGAGTAAAACAACGGTGTGATCCAGACGAGTGCAGAGAGAGGAACAGGGTTTCCACTTTTCACATCCGAAAGTAGAACAACGATTGGTTGCTGTACCCCACCTGAAATTTTGAGATACCTACGCGCATACCTGAACCCTGTTTTGAATTTTAGCTAGTAACATTGCTGTAACACTTTTACTGCTAATAACACCAGTGACACATGACTTTTTAGAATTCAGAGAAGTGTGTTAAAACTTTTAATGTTGTTTCTTGTTGAGAGCTTAATGGATTGGCCTTTTGATTTTATTCCTTGGTAGAAATAATACCATTTTTATTGCTTCTAGTACATGGTTACAACTGCGAAGTTTTATAACATTGGAAGCGGTTGGTTGGATCAGTAGGGCCAGAAACAGAAGGTTTGATCCTCAACCTGGAAGCCAAAATTACAAGAGTTTTCAGGAGGGTCATCATAGCAGGCTTCTTCAACCTTTGGTAAGCAAGGGAGGGTCAAAAGGCTTTCACTAAGGTTATCCTCTTCATCTTGGGAGAAGTCTGAGTGGTCTGGTTCAAAGGCATGGGAGGAATCAGCAGGCTCCACGAATGAAGAGGGATGGTTCCCATCAGTGCAATGTGGGCTGTCCGAATCAAGCACATCACTTTTGGCTGAATTGGCATCTTCTTGCTTGCATGTTACCATAATAGGGAGTGACACTTTGGTCCCATTTTCAGATGTTGAATTTGAAATTAAATCCATAGGCTCTTTGTGGGGTGAATTGACAGCATCAGGAGATGACTTGTCGTCCGAATTCTCCTTCTCTTTATCTCTACGAATCAATTTGCTCTCCAGAGAATTCACCTGTTAGTAACAAAATTGTGCCAATCCAATCATTAACCCATTAGTGGGATAAACATTGCACTTTATTAAAGCCAGTAGTAGCATAAAGCACAAAAGCTGAATTGGGAGTATGTAAGTCTGTGTTGTGTGTGCCTCTTTTTTTTCTTTTTTTTTTTCTTTTACCTCTGCTTTTAACTTGTCATTCTCTTGGAGAAGACTTTCATAGTCACCTTTGAGTCTGTCATAACTAGCTTTCAATGTGCCATAATCTTTTTCTAGCTGCTTGGTCTTGAACCTTGCCCTTCGGTTTTGGAACCATATAGCCACTTGCCTTGGCTGCAAGCCAAGCTCCTTTGCAAGTTGGACCTTCCTTTCAGGTTCAAGCTTGTTCTCTACCTCAAAGCTCCTTTCAAGGAACTGAACTTGTTCGCCTGTGAGTCTCCTTTTCTTACCCGGTTGATGGAAGCACCCCTCATAATCCTCATCAAAGTTCTCTTCCTTCTCCAACGCTTGAAAGAAGGGCCTATCCGTCACCCTGCCCCCACTAACATTCTCAAAATCAACCACAGATTTTGAACCTGAAATCAACCACCAAACAAAAACAACCACAACGACAACCGTGTTAAATTTCAATCACAAGCAGCTTCTACAAGGAAGAAGAAAAAAAAAACTGATAAACATCTGAAGAGAACAAGAGTCCTGAACTGAAAAAACCGGTTTTCAAGTTTCCCACAAAAATAAAAAAAGCTAGTGAGCCTGTTTATTTTGTTAATACATAAAAAGGTTTTAAACTGCGGTCATGATCCATGCAGAAAATTGCAGACTAATTCATCTGCAATTGCGGGTGTGGTGTGGTCATGGAAACCACAAGAAGCTTGATGTTGATGAGTTCTTGACCGTCTTTTAAAACCTTGATATGTATCCATGCGAGTAAAAAGTTAAGGTTGTGAAAATTCATGAGCAAGGGAAGTAGCAAAAGGAGTATGAAGAGATGGAAGAGAGTGAGGTGAATTGAGACAGAAGAGATCACCTTGGAAGGAAGCAGGGTTAGAGGTGTGAGCCCAAAGAGACTCAAGGACTTCAGAGGAGCAAGGGAGCCTTTCGTTTTGGAGGAGAAGTGACATGTTTGAACCAGGATGAAGCTTGCCACCCGCCATGGGAACAGGACTTTTTTGTGGGGGTTGGTGTGGACTTTGGAGTGTGTGAGTGTTTGTGTGGTTTTTCTTCTTCTTAGATTAAAGAGTCATATTCATTTGAGTTCATAGATACCCCATATGAAGTAAAAGAAGAAAGAGGGCATGGAATTTGATCTAGAATTAATGACGAAAGAAGCAGGTGATGAGGATTACTATAATGTGGGAATTGTGGGAGTGAGGAGAGATCATAGCCATCACTCAGAGGAACTGGAAGCAAAATTAAGAGGTGTCAGAGGTTAATAAATTGAAGTGCAGAAGAGGTGAGTTTGGAGAGAGAGAAAAAGGGTTGATGGAGTTGAGAGTTTGCAAAATTTTGGCTGTGAGAAAGTGAGAGAAATAAAGAGAGATTCTTCTCTGTGGTGGGGAACTTTGATGGGGTTATATTGGGAGCCTTGGTCTGGTTGTGAGACAGGGGAAGCCTAGACAAAAAAAAAAACTCTGCAAGTTACCATTTTGCCCCTTCCCCATCCATCACTTTCTTATCTCTCTTTCTATTTATTTATTTATCCTTTTTTTTAGTGAGTTTTTAATTTGATCTTTTTAATATTTTCAACACATCAATTTAATACTTGAAAAGATTACTCCTACTGATTTGATTTTTGGTGATTTTTATATCATGTGTGATATTAAATCCGTTTTAATAACCATTTTTTGTTTCAAAATGAAATATGTGCAATGGATTTTAAAGGTTGAATTAATATAATAAGAGACTGTATTCTAGTGAGTTTTTTTTAAGGATTTTATTTGACATTCAAGTAATCTTCTCGTATTAGGTTGGTCTATTTTTAGAATAAAATTTAGTTACGAATTTTATGTTTTAAGTGATATAGTTTTTATTGTAAATTTATTTTCTTTTTTAGTAGAAATAAGCTAAGAAAAGTTAAGATTAGTTTAAGTGACTTGTTTTATAATTTTGTTGTTTAAATTATTCAATCTATATATAAGATTTACCAGACTTGTTAATTGTTTTAAATAATTATTTTATATTAAAACTTTAAATATATCCATGAACACATTCTTGAACAAGCTAATTATTTTTAATTTAAAAACTACTACTGTTAAGGATACTCATAAACCATTTTTGAATAGTGGCTCAACCCTTATTATTAGATGCATTCATTGAATCATTTAAAAATAATATCGTCAAAATAAACACTTATTTCATAAATCAAAGTTATTAATTACTACATGTATAAAATAAGTACATTTGTCTGTATATTATTATAATTAGTCTCAATTAATTAATGATCAATCGTGGTTATAGATAACATTTTTTACTTAATTATTTTTTTATATGTAAAATTAATTTACCAATAATATAAAATAAAATAACATTTTAAACATCTATAATTAACCATTGCATTAGAGTTTCAATCATTTCATTCGAAAACCGTTTTGCATGTTTGACAGTAAAACTAAAATTATAAGATTCAAAAAGTATTTTAAATTTACTAACAACTTAAAAATAACATAAAGAATATAAATTTTATAATATATATATATATATATATATTATAAATTTAAGGTATAAAGTTTTATCATTTTATGAATATTAGTAGAAAGCGTTTTAAAATAATAAAAAAATAAGTTTAATTAAATTTTAAAATTATAAATAGAAAATTTGATGAATTTGTTAGTTTGGTGTATTTTTTTATGTGCAATCTGTCTAATAAAATTGGGTGTATGAGGTTGCATAAATTTAATGGATTTGATGGTTTGAAAATATGTCATTTAATTTAATAAGGATATGATATACTTAAATGTGATTAACGATAAAGTAACGCGAAAAGTAGTAACTACTAATGAAACACTGCTTAAATCAATTTTATAAATAATATATTTTAAAAAATTATTTAAATTAATTTTATAAATAATATATTTTAAAAAATATTTAAATGATTTTGTTAATTTTATTTTTTTAATTAGAGCTGATTATTTTTTTATATATAAAATTTAATAAAGAGAAATAAATTCTGATAATATAATATAATTTTCTTTTTTTTTATTTTTTTCTTTCTCATTTATTTTTTATTATTTTAATTTTTCTGTCTTCGTTAGTATTTGTTTTATTTATTTTTTTCTCTTTCTTATCTATTTTTCTTTCACTCAATCTTTATAATATTTTTTAAAATTAAGATGTGATAAGATAAATATTTTATTATTTTTGAACAATAAAATTTTTTAAATGATTCAAAAATATTATAAAATAAAATTATCATATTATTGCTATTTATAATTATTTTAATAAATTAAATATTTATTTAAAATATTTTTTAATAAATATTTTTTTAAATTACCTAATCTAACTATTTGTCATAACTCAATCTAATTATAACTCAATTAAATTATCAAGTAAAAAATACGTTTAACTTATAAATATTTAATATTTATTAATTAGATGAGTAATTATTTATTATAAAAATAAATTTAACTTAATTATTTATGTCATCATAAATAGATTTACTTTCATAAAAATAAATTTATTTTTTATTATTATAATTTTAAATAATTAGTTGATAATTTTTTTAGTTTCAATGTTAATTTTAAAGTATTTGTTTTAATATATTTTTATCATGGATTCCATATTAGTTAGTTAATATATATAATTTAAGTAGTACGTTAATGAATTTGAAAAAATAATTATATTTATAAGATAGAAGATTTGCATAAAGTTACCCATTATATAATATTTCACTATAACAAGGTAAAATTATTAATGAGTATCGTTATTGTAAGATATTTTGATATATCATTTATAGTATTTTATAAATTAAGAAATTTTATGATTAATTAATAAAATTAAACATATTTTGGAAGAATGCTATGGATATGTAAGAACAAAACAAAACTCTATCGATGCTTTTATTGCAAATATGGAGTCCATTAATATTGCTGGTAGACAATTAAAACATGTCGTAGCTAGAATTACGGATCTCCTGAAATACCGGAAGAGGCTCCATTTGCTTTTATTTAATAAATGGTTTTATATATTAGAATTTAAATATATATTATTAGCTTTCAAGAGAGTATAAAATACAAAATAAAAAAACTACTTTAATTTTATACCTTTCTTCTGGACTTTTTAATAAAAGATTGAATTATAGTCAAATGATAATTCTTTTTTACCTTCATTTTAAATGATTTGGATTGTTTTAAACATTGTGTTTCTTAAGTGTAGAGTAAAAAACCTTACTTTTAAACATGGTAATTTGAGAATTTTGACAAATAATATTACTTATTTTTTATTATGTGGAAGTTGTTCAAAAGATTTTAAAAATATTATTTTGATTAATTTATTTATAACTTTAAAAAAAGTGAAAATTATTTTTATATGTTTTTAAAAAATTTAAATGTGAAAGTATTATTCAAATTCATTAATCCTTTTATAAATGTAATATGGTGGGAGAGGAGTGAAAATATAATATCAAAATGTTATTTTATTATTATTATTATTATTATTATTATTATTATTATTATTATTATTATGATGGTGAAAATTTGTTTTTATAATTAGTAGTAAAGTAAGTTTTAAATAAAATAAAAAGATAAAATTTAAATTAAGATAAATTTATAAATAGAAAAATAAATATTTTATTAGAAATTGTTAGCTCTTTAAAATTTATTTATTCTTACAATGAATGATAGACGTAAATAAGATAAAAATATATTTGTATTCACTTAAAAAAACTTATATGTAAGACCTCAATAAAACATTTTAAATAATTTAAGATTTCATCTTTTTAATTAAGTAAGTTTTAATGAAAATCTTAATTTATTTTTTCTTAACAAAAATTAACTTGTTGAAAATTTAAGTGTGAGTTTGAAGTCTCACATTAGGTAGAAATGAGAAAGTTGAGTAACTTATAAGTGAGAAAGACTCATAATCTATTGCTTTAAGGTTTTGAGTTGAAAGTGATGTCATATTCTCTTATATGGTTGACTCATTACCCATTTGTAAGAATCTCCCTACTAGTTGCCCCTTCCGAAAAACCTAACAGTGGTATCAGAGTCATCAGTGACACACCTCTCTTTACTAGAAACTTATCTGGTGTACTAAACGTTCTGGCAAGGAAAGACTTGGTATTTAAGCGTGTCCATCAGTGACACACCTCTCTTTACTAGAAACTTATCTGGTGTACTAGTTCATGGTTTACCGTTATTATTCCAGTAGGCAATACTATTTATAGTGAGGATTGCATAAGTCGGTTTTGGAACCATGGTAACAAAATATGAGATAAAGAAGTTCAATGGGAGTAATTTCGCATTGTGGAAATTGAAGATAAATGCAATTTTGAGGAAGGACAATTGTATTGATGCAATTGCGGAAAGAACCGTGGAACACACAGATGAACGACGGTGGAAAGAAATGAACGATAATGTTATTGCGAATTTGCACTTATCAATGACAGATTCAATTTTATCCAGTGTTATGGAGAATACTACTGCAAAGGAAATTTGGAATACCCTCATTAAACTATATGAGGTTAAGTCACTTCACACAAAAATATTCTTGAAGAGAAAACTCTATACTCTTCAGATAAGTGAGTCCACATCAGTGACGGACCACATCAACCATTTGAATATCTTATTTTTTCAACTATCAGCGGCAGATTTCAACATAGTTGAAAATGAGCGTGCAAAGCTTCTACTTCATATTTTACCTGATTCGTCTGATCAACTTATTGTCAATATTACAAATAATAATATTGATGGAAATATGCACTTTGAGGATGTTGTCGGATCTATTATTGAAGAAGAATCCAGGCGGATGAGTAAGGGCGAAAGTTCCAATCAAGCAGAGGCTTTGACAATGATGAGAGGAAGATCAACGAAATATGGCTCGAGTAATGGTAGATCGAGGTCTCAAAGTAAAAAGAGTTATAAAATTAAATGTTACTTTTGTGGCAAGAAAGGGCATACAAGAAAATAGTGTTGGAAGAGGAAGAATGGAGGAAACAACA